GAATGGTCCTCTGCCTATGATAACTCCCAAATCATGCCTGGAAATTGTCTGGGACAGTCCTAGTGGGACCAAGCCAAACCATGCCAGGAGTGTGCTGACACTTAATTCTGATGATTGAGTTTGTATTCTGGGAATGTTTCCTAATGTTGTTTAATTTACTAGTAAAGACTTAATTACTAGTGAAGACTTAGTGTCTGTTCTATTAAATTACCCTCAAAGTCAGCACTGCCCTGATAAAAATCAGCAAGTGTCCCTAAACCTTCCGGAAAATGTTGATTCCTCAGCCTTCAGTCATTACCTTTCCATCTCCTCAATGAATGTGGAACAAATTATTAAATAATCAATTTGTTATCACTTAAAGATAATCAGGTGATAAGAAAAAGCCACAAGAGAGAAAGCCAAGTGCAAATTATGTCAGACGGATTAACTTTCTTTGCCACAGCAACTGGAATAGTGGAGAGCGGGTCCGGCAAGGCAGGCTATCCTGATGCATAGAAGGGCTTTTTGAGGCAATCCTGTATAATATTTGTCACAGGTATGCGCTCTGAAACTAGTTGTCAGTAGTTTGCTGTCAGACCAGGAGGACTTACAGAGATCAGTTACTGGGGTGCTTGACCAGATTTATCAACTAGTTTCCTCAATGACTTAGATGATGAAATAATGCATGTTTACAAAAGATATAGCTGGCCCCACATCTGGAAGACCTTGTAAGACTGAAGGCAGGATAGGAAAAAAAAATTATTTTGACAAATTGGAGAAACAGTTCATAATCAGCCAGCTAAAATTCCATAAAACTGGTGCAAAATACTGCACTGAGAAGGGGAAAAAAAAATTAAATGCATCAGTAAAGAAAGGGGGAACAGCTGGCTAGTCCACAGCACTGAGGAAACAGGTTGAGGACTTCCAGGACCACAAACCAAATATGAATCACCACTGTATAACGTAGTATGTATTGCATAAAAAGACAAATTGCATTCTTTACTGTATAACTAGGGCATACTACCTATAAGACGGAGGTAATTTTTTGCTTTCGCAATACCCCCAAGTTAGAGAGGCTCAGTAAGAGTGGCTTAGTCTGGGTTTGTACTGGAGGAAGGTAACAAACAGTATAAAGGATATAAAACATATAGGGTTGAAAGAAGAAGATTTAGTCTAGCAGGGAGAAAACAGAAGAGTGACTATGATAATGAACCTCAAATACGTAAGAAAGACGCTCATCAATTGTTCCCCATATCTCCTGAGAATAGGTCAAAATTCAGCAAACTCATTTAGGCTATAAAGAGGCCAGGAACCATGGCAGCTGTCAGTCAATGAGCAGTTAACAGGTACTGAGGAGGTGGTAGCACCCCTGCTTAAGGGCAGGTAAGGCAAAGCTTGCTTGGGTGTCCTCAGTGCATCTGACCCTGACTCTAGGGATGTAGATGCAGTGACTTCTGAATGTTCCTTTCAGACTGACACGTATGTAATTTTTACTTTCTAACATCACTTCATCACTCATTTTGGCTGCAGGGACGTGACCTCCAACGCCGTAGGGAGAGCCTAATCAGCAACTCTGAGCAAGGTCTCACCAGGGCTTTATCCAGTCTCATTACTGGATATGTAATTTCGTGTTCACCCATATGTCATCACATCCTGTGCCTTTCTCTTCCAGGCTTTGTGTTAGACCATCCCATTCAAGCGCTTACTAAAAACTATTTCATTCTTTTCCTCTCACCCCTCCAGCAGGAGGTGTGTTCCATAATTTGATTGTTCTCACAGCTAGAAACTTCTGATCTCCAGCTTAAATATGCTTGTGGCCAGTTAGCAGCCACGTGATATGGAGTAGTTCAAATTCATACTCATGTGGGTGGATATTCTAAAATGCAGAAGCTGATGTCACTGCATGTGACAGATTCCAGATCTGTTCTTCAGGTTTCAAGACGGAAAATAGTATAAATTTGCTGAGGAAAAGGACCAGTTTTTCTTTCTTACATCAGCACATAGATGATCTGAATGACATTACAAAGGAAATGCAGATGTGACACAGGAAAGGCTGAAGAGAAGGTGCCAGCTGAGGGCAGAACCAGGAGACCCAAGACCGGGTGACAGGCATAATGAAGTTATCAGTTTGATGGATTCAGGAGAGCCAGGAGGAGTAACATGTAAATTGAAAACTGCTGCTTGCAGTGGTGGGAGTGGTGGCTTGTTTGTGCGGGAGGAACCAGTTCCCCTTTTCTGTCTTCCCAAAAGATGTGACAATAAAGGTCACACTCATCTGCCTGCAAAATGGTATATGTATGTCTCTTTGTGGAGAAGCACGTATGTGAGAATTGACAGTCCTCCCCTGAATCAATACTCACCTTTGTGAAGGAGAAAATGCTTTCTGCTGAACTGATAGCTATTTCATCCCATTGCAAACCATAACAGATGGGTTTTCTTCAAACCTCTATGCATTTTAAGATTGTATTTACACTCATTAAGCAAGTCTTCTGTCTAACAGGGGAAGAAATAACATTCTCCTGCTTCTTCATTTTCTTCCTGCCACTGGTGTGCTTCTCAGGGCTGCTGGCTGGGTCCTACTCAGCTTCTTTTCTGCTTTCTGAGTGAGCTGGTTCTACATGGAAAGCAGTTATCTGTGTCTCGCTGTGGAGGTGCGAGTTCTGGCTCCTTTGGGTTCAGCAGTGTAGGTTCTGTAACATAGAGTCAAGTACCAGACTGGGAAGCAGAGAAAAGTACAGCTGTCCCTCATTTTCTCCAGAGACAAAATGAGACTGTTGCTGTTAACAACACATGCCACCTCCTGTAGTAAAACTGCAGGGTTTTATTTTTAAAGTAAAGTGAAACACACTAATTAGGTATTAGTATTATCACTCTTTCTATGACAGGCATCTGCACTCCTGCCATCCTAGCAAAATATCAGTCAGCAGAGAGTGTTTAGCCAAAATGAAAATTCAGTCTGTGCATCTAATAAATGCTGCTGCTGCCCAGCCTTCCTTTTTTTTGGTCAGCAAATAGCTCTGCTGTCCTCTGTCATGTAGCAGTCATGTCCTACCCTGAAGACAGATGCATTTCAGTGGTGGTTCTTGCCTTTTTTTTTTTTTTTTTTTTTTCGTGTAATACAAGTTAGCAGTGTTTCGTAAAAAGCTTTCTTGGGTCAGGACAAAAGCTGCCATGCATATGTAACACTGTGATTAGCATCTTGCAATGAACTGGCTGGTGTGCCCAAAGTCCTATCTCCTGGTAGATCAAGCAGCTGGCTTTTCCTGTAGCTGCTCTAGCATAAAGCTAGGGTGTTGGAGAATGGCTCAGAGACAAGGGTCCTGAGCCCACCGAGCGATTGTATGATCAGAGCCTGCTCTAGCTGCTGATGCTGGGCCTCACTAGGGTTTGCCTGCAGCTGCTCACAGCTGCTGATACAGGAGGAATGTCAAGGATGCTTCAGCCCTGTGTACCGTGGGGTGTCGAAAACAGGTTAAGGGGGATTAGGTATAGTGGTCTGAGAAACCCGGTGTTATGATAACGGTGGTCTGAGAAACATTGTGTTATGGTACTGTCGTGTATTGAAAACAAGTCAACAGGAATCAGAAATAGTAGCATGAGAAACTTAGTGTTATGAGAAGCTTGTGCTGTAAGCTAACTGCAAGTAGGTGGACCGTGCGAATACGACCTTTAGAGCTTAAGCCAATCAGCTAGTGACTAGTAGGCATAATAATTATCATTGTCTGGATAAATATATGTACCCTGGACCAATAAACACACACGTTGTTTGATGCTCTATCTCCTACACTGAACCCGTCTCGGCGTGTCGTTCGTCCGCGGCTCCGCACTAGGGTTTGGGAAGGAAGCCCCAAGGACAGCCCGCAGTTCTCAGTGATCATAACGCACAGCAAAACAGCGGTCCTACTGGTGCCTAGTTTTTCGGAGGGATCACCTTCTTCCTAGGCGAGCCCCGACCCCCAGCAGTACAAGAGCTGGGCTGGAGTGGCCTAGCAGTGCAGAAGGTCGAAGCAGGAGGGAGCTGGCTCCCCTTGTGAGAAAACCAACTAACTGATCAGTCTGGATTTGCCCTCTGACAGTCACAGACGGCACACTGGAGACCCTGGCCAATAACCCCCTACAAGGTTGGAGGGTCTCTGAGGGGTGGAGAGGCAGGTCCGAAAAGGACTGAGAGGTCCCACTGACGTGCGGAAAACAGACTCCACAATCTGACAGATTGTAAAGTAGGTATGTTTATTCAGCGCTGGGCACACAGGGGATAGCTCCTCCTATTGTGCGCGCCGATATGGCACCGTTACCTTAGATTTATAGAGCAAATGATTACATATTCATAATATTTCGCAATACGCCTATACATATGCATTACCTATCCCCGCTTCGTATTATAATTAGCATTTCCATAATCTCCTCCCAATTGAGTCTGCGCAGTGTCTTCTGGTGGTGGTCGTGGGGGTCTTTGGGGATGAAGTCAAGCTCCTCTTCCTCCTGTCCGCTCTGTGACCCCAGGTTTTGCGCAGACTCAGTCTCTTACTGGCTGCTGTCCAAACCGTAGGTCTAGTCCCAACCGGCTTTGTACTGATAAAGCCTAAAGACTCCATGCCTCAGCTCATCATGTTTTGCAAACTATCCACTCATTAAGCAGAACTGTTACCTCAACTATTTCCCTTGTCATCCCCTTCTTGCTATTCCCACATTAACCCTCACATCCCCTGTCCCTAACTAGGCCCTGTATCACCACCCTGGCTTTGCAGCCTGGTGATCTTTCCCCTGCCACCCCTCATCCACCGCAGCGGGAGCAGGCAGAGCTGGCACAAAGCAGCAGACGCCGCTCTGACCGCCGCAGGCCACCCCTGCCGCGCGCTCTCCACCGCCTCCACGCCAAAACGGTCTCACACGCCGAGCGCCGCCACCGTTGTCCCCGGGCACCCTCACCAAGATGGCTGCCGCCCCACCGCGCAGCCCCCTCACCAAGATGGCGGCAGCCACGTGTCCGGGGTGGGGTGGGGTGGCGCGGGGTGGCGGCCTGCGCATGCGCGGGTCCGGTGGGGGCCATGGGCAGGCGGCGACAGGGGCTGAGCGTGGCGCGGGAGGTGAGAGGCGGCGGCGGGGCTGAGGCGAGGCGGTTGCCGTCGTCACGGCCGCAGTAGCGTTTCCCTGGGGAGCGGTTGGCGTCGGGGAGGGCCGGGGCTGTGCGGTGGGGGGGCGCTCCGGCGGCGCTGGTGCCGCGCCTGGCCGCCATCTTGATGAGCGACGGCGGGGGAGGAGGCCGCGGCGGGACTCGGCGCCCTGCCCTCCATCCCGGGCCTTTGAGCGATGGCGTGTGGTGCCCCTGCGCCCGCTGAGCCTCAGAGCCAGCGCAGGGAGAGGCGGTAAGCGTGTGTGCCCACGGAGGGTGCTGCGGCAAGCTCTTGCCCCTCGGTAGCAAAGCTGTGCGTGGCTACTGCTTTTGAGGAACCCAGTAATAAACCAGCACATGAGGTGCCTGTAATCCTCTGCAAGGAGAAGGGGGATAAGACTGGTTTTTAAAAGTATGCCTTATAAAGCTGCCTTGTTATTGTTGTGCGTTGGTGTTTCGTAATCTCTTGAGTAGCAGATTAAGGTCTCTGCAACATACTTCATTCAAGGCTCCTGCACTGAATGGTGCTGTCAGGGCTGACTTGAAGGAGGCAGTGGAGAGCCCAGGAGTTCAGGTCTGTGTGTTGTGGGTACTTTGGGGACAGCAGAAGCCTGAAGCTTCCTGACAAATGGCTGAAATGGTGCAGAATCGATCCAGTGAATCTCACTGCTCACCTCTCTATTCTGAAGTCTTTCAGATGAACGTATGCACAACAGACCAGATAGCCAGGATAGAAAAGCCAGGGAAAGGATTTGGAGTTTGTCATAGTATACTTCATCAGCCAGAAATGTAAAGGTGAGTGTCCTACTGTGCCATATGAATAGGAGCTCAGTTTATAGTAGTTTTCGGGTCTATTTCATCTAGTTAGGCTTTCATTAGTGAAACAGACATTTCTGGGCACTCTAACCCAAACATAACCACCAAAGGGAGTCCAGAGGGCAGCGTGCTGACTATCCAAGCTTCTCTTCAGTGATCCTAGCAGGGAGAGTTGAAATAATGAATTTCTTTTGGTTGCTGTGTGGGATGTGACAGACAAGGAGAGTTGAGATGGTAGGATCTACCTTACAAAAAGAGAGGTGGTAAAAAGGGTGAGCCTGTCAGGGACCTTTTGGTCACAGAATGAAAAGGGAATGATTTGAGCTGCCACAGAAACTTCCTGCAAAGTGTTTGGGGACTTCTAGTAGCTTTTAGATTTATTTTTTTTTTTAAGAAGTTGTCATGACAGAACACACTACTTTTGAAAGGATTGTAGAACTACTCTTCAGTGTATTATTGATGAAAACTTAACCTTTCTACTAGAAAATAAAATTCTTCCCCCTGACAGCAGTGAGAAAGGTACTGAATAGAAGTTAGGAAAGAAGAAAACAAAATCCCTTTAAGCCAGAGGAAGAGAGGGCTGCATTTCAGGTGTCAGAATATGTGACAACCAAGATATTGATTTCATAATTTAAACTTTTATTGGGTTCAGTATTATCTTCTGTGCTGTTACGATTGTAAAGAAAACTTTCCAAATGATTCTTAATATGATGTGATGCATGGCTAGCTTTGAAAGGCCTAATCTAGGCAGAGTCATGCTTGTTTAACTGAAGTCATGATGCTAAATGAATGCAATTTTCTATATGGACACTTATCAGATTAGTTTGCACTTACAAATTGCAGGTGTAATTGATATGACCTGGTTTAAACTGATATAAATGTGTCTCTTTAATGTGGTGGTTTAAACTCATGACACTTCTCCTTTCATATAGCTCTGTAGTCTTTCAACAGGCAGCCCTATTGATAATGCTGAGCTGCACAGAACTTTCTTGAGGAAACTCATCAGGAAGATGGAACTGGGAGGACTGGTCTGTTTTGTAGCAAAATAATGAAAGTAGAATGAGCTTGAGAGAGTGACAGTGACGATCAAAGGTGTGAAAACTTCTATGCAAGGAACAACTAAGCATACCAGGTCCTTTTAAGCTTGAAAACATTGACTGCAAGGTGACCTGATATAGGTCGGTACCCTTTGCATTCTATTTGTAACTTTAAACAAAGAGTGAACATTCACTCTCAATATAAAATCAGGGCTGTCAAATGAAACTGGCAGCTGACAAGCTCAGAACAAACAGGAGGGGTTGGTTCTTCCCATAACCTGTGGCTGTGCTGTGAAACTCCTTGCCAGAGGATGTTGTAGCCCTTAAAAATATACTTGTAGCTCAGACAGCCACTCAAAAAAAAATCGTGGAAGCAAAAAATTGGGGGTATTAAATGCAAAGAGAACACCCTGTGCTCTGGCAGTGCCTGAGCTGCAAAATGTCAAGCGTGTATTTGGAGAAAGTATTGTTACGTGTATTGCTGCTTCTGACAAGGCAGTGGCTGATCAGTGTCTGTGCAAGAGCATAAAGAATGGGCAAAAGGCCAATGTAGTCTTTACTCAATCAAGCTGTTCTTACAGGATTTTTCTAAAAGCTGTGGGTGGTGTCATGTCTGTGTGCTATCCTGCAAAGCCCCTGGTCTGAGCTGAGGCAGGGTGGGTTCACTAACTGGATAGCCTCTGCAGGGCTGAAGGAGGAGTTGCAAGTGGAACCCAGGCCTTTCTCCTTTACCAACAGAGGGTTCATCTGCAGGATTTTAGACTTTGCTGGTGGATCATCTCCTATTGTATAGTAGCTTTGCCTGGTAAATATTTCCAAACACGCTGTGGGCACAGGATCTGTGAAATGATTTGCCAGCATGCAAAATGATTCCAGGAGCATGGTGGAAATGGAAGTGTGTCCGTGAACTGCAAGTTAGCATTTGAATTTAAACAAAACTTGTCTCTGCTGGACTAATTTTAATAATCCAGCCAAATTTGTGGATGCAGGAACCACTAATTCTTCTGTGAAAAGAATGGCTCAAGTGTGCTGGCAGGTGACAAGGCATGAGATGACTGCTTGGGGAAGTTTTTTTTTTTAATTTGCCCCCACCTCTTCAGTTGGCTTTGATCTGTTTTATGAGGGTCAGAAGACGAAAACCTCATTACCTAACGCTGTTGGATGTCGACGTATGTGTGATATGGCTCTTTGCCAGTATCTTAATTAGGGAATTCATAAAAGCGGAGGGTGGATGCCAGTTCTTGAAAAGTGCTTTTAGCCTTTCTGCTGGAAAGATAGCTTTTATTAATTCATTACAAAATTTATTAAAACGGATCCAGCTCAACTCTGTAAGCAAAGTTGCTTCTTTTTCCCTTCTGTTTTTGTCTCTGCCTTTATGTGAGCCATTTTGGGCTCCCTGCCCAAGATGGTCCCAACAATTGAGTTTTGTAATAAGTGTCTAAGTTGGTTTGGATTGAAATCCGTTCCAGGTTTCTCTGATTTAAAAGGTCTCCAGATTGCAACTGGGTGTTGCCAGAATTCAACAAAAATGGCTCAATGCCTTGTCATATCTTGTGGAGCAAGGGAGGCATCTGGTCTTAGATCCCTGTGTGAGTCCAAAGCCGCTGGGACTTGCGTTTCTAGAGTGGCTCTTGAAGAGCAGAAGGGCAGCTCTGTGTGCACCGAGCTGCAGCTTGGATATGAAGCACCTGTTTCACTTACGTTTTTAACTGATGGTACTTAAAGATGCTGCTGCAAGTGAAGTCCTGTGTCCCTGCTACAGGCCATATGAACCTGAGGAGTTGTCATGCAAGCTTCATGCATGCAGCAGTTCAGCTCTGTCCCAGAGGATCCTCTTTGTGGAAAAGAGAGCCAGAAGGAGCAAGGGTTCATCTCTGCAGTTTATAAGCCACTGTGCTGAGATTGCCACTAAAAATATAAGCCACTGTGGAGCGATGGTTCAGCTAAGCGAGCTTGGCTCTTTGCTTTCAGGTGGGCTTCCAGCAGGCCTAGGTACATACCCCAACTAACCTTCTTGTGTATTGGTTAGGAGGAGGGAAAGCTTTCCATCTACAACAACCTCAGGTATGCACCTGTTTCTAGGATTGTTTTCCTGGAGAGCTGCTGCAGGGAGTTATGCCAAAGCTCTACAAGTTTTCTTGTGCTACAGCTTTACAGGATATGGCCCCTCTGGGAGTTGCCTCAGCAGCCCAGAGAGTAATCAGTAATTCCCAGGCATTGCTCTGTTTTCTCCCTGTGCTTTTTTTATATTTCTCTCTTTCTTTTGCCCTACAGTGGAGAGTTACTTGAATGGCTGAACTGCTGAGAGACTCCTAGGTTGCAGGAACAGATCCCAAATCCCAAGTGAGACAATGGCACTGACTACCAAGATAGTGCTCTGCTCATAGTTTGGGTCGGTGTCTGAGGCTCCTTGTGTAAATGAGCCACCTCCAGGAGGCAGATAGTATTGTCCTAATTTATAAGTAGGGAAATTGAGTCACAGTGAATGGGGTAGTACCTGGGAATCCTCACTCTTGTCCTTCCTTATAACCCCTAATGCCCCAGACTAGCCTGAAGAAAAGAAATAGTGAGAATATGGAGTAAAAATATTCTGTTCATTCAGCAATCTCTTCCTCTTTCCTTGCTTTTTTTTTTTTTGATTATTTTCTGTCCCTTGTGCCCCCCAGCTCAGCAAAGCTGATGGTGCAGTTCTAGGGCATGTGGTTTATTAGTGAATTATTGCTATCCAGCAGGGGACCCAAACTTTGGTTTTGATTTAAGAGCAGTAAAACCAGTTGAAACTTTTAAAGTATTATGTGGAATCTGGAGATTTTTAGTCAGCAGAAAGTAAAAGCATTGGCGGAGTTGGATGGAATATCCTCTTGTTATGTCTCATGAAATGACAGAACTATGGGCAGAAAAGGTACTAGTGAGAGCAACTGCAAACTGAGCAGGAGGAGCAGCTCTGAAGAAGATAGGAAGTGCAATGACATGGATAATTTAGTGGTGGGGTTGAGAGCTGACTAACCAAAGCTCTCATTAAATTGTATTATTTAACATGATTTTTAAACGTGTTTCCAGAGAAGGCATGGTGCATTGTAATAAGTTTACTGGCTAAAGAGGACCCAGGTAACATATGCTGAAGTACCTCTTGTGGTGTGTGTATGTGAGGGTTTTCAACAGATAAGGGAGCAGAGACACAGTCATTCGCAAATGGTACGAACTGATGAAGGAGATGGTCCTCCTTAAACTGGACTGGATGGACACCCCACCTCCACTCTACTGCACTCTGCTGTTAAATTAACTTGCTGATAATTTCAGCAGTGGTCAGAGCTGATTTGGGTGAAGCCTTTGGTTGTCCCTGAAGCAGACTGGGGCCGTGAGTCTCACTGACTGAGCTCCAGTGGATGATAGATAGCAGTGAGCAGCTGGAGTGAACGTTCTTAACTGGCACAGTTGGATATGGAGGAGGACAATTATCTTTGCCCTGACTGAATGCATTTTCAGCTAACATGCTTCAGAAATATCCATGTCCCCATCCAGGCAAGCCCAAGCATTGCCAGACACAGAAGTGCCATTCCGTGTGCCCTGGGATCGGATAATGTGCCTTGGTGCTCCCCATGGGCTCAGGGGAAACTGTGCGGGTGCCTCTGGGGAGCTTGGGATCTCAACAGCCCTGGCAGAGTTGTCTAATAACAAGGGACTTTGAAATTGCTATCTGGTATGATGCAAAGATTTATTTGAGCCTTGTTATATGTGGCCCCCTCCCCAGCTCTGCTGTGCTCCTTGCAGTGAGACTATTCAGCTGACTGGCTGAACTCCTTCTTGCAGTCTGCTTTGTTCTCCCCTTTACGCCAAGCCTCTTCTCCCGTCCTGCTTATTTATAACGCTTGCCTGCCTTTTCTGAGCAGAAGGTGTGAGATTGCTAATGAGCTCAGGATGGAGCTGATCCCCAAAGCAGCAATAATTAGGGATCACTACCTTTGATTTTTGTTTCCCATATTGCTGTTTATATGAGTGTTTGTGCCCTGGGCCACCTCTTAGGCTGATGTCCAGGCAGCTGGTGTCTCATTCCCCCTCAGTACTTTACCCGGGACCGTGCTGCCTCTTAGCTTCTGGTTTGTGAAGGCTCCCACCACAGAGGCTGTGCAGTGAGCCATCTATCCAACCTTGGCCTTGCTTGGAGAACCAGACACAGCAGGAGTGTTGTGCTAAGTAGCTAAAAAGAGGGGTCATTTTCTTTCAGGCTAGGATGTTGTGTTCATATTATCTGATTAGTCCCACTGTTTACCTGTTGGAAACAAGCCTGAAAGACAAAGTTTTCCTAAAGATGTCTACACTCTGGTCGCCAGGCAGAAAAGAGGAATGATTCCCAGAAGAACTGTTGCCCATGGTAGGATTCCTTCCGGGGCAGTCAATTTGCACACAAGTAGCTCAACCCTCTTGTACTTACTCATGGTTACTCCCCTCCACAGGAAGATGTAGAGGGGAGGGTGGCTGTTAAGAAACTGGGTGAAGAGACATTACCAGTGCTTTTCTGCATGGGAACATGTTGCTGTCAAAACTTGGTGCAGATCAAAGGTGTGGCTGAGGTGGTGAATGCTCTCTTGAGCATACTGTGCAGACTACTGTCTGTGTTGTAGGTGTAGTAGGGTAAAAGAGACAGTAGGTTTCCCCTTTGTCCCCTCTTCACCCAACCAGACAGCTGAGGGTGCTCTGTAGTCACGTCCCATGAACTTCTGCATCCATTCACAGCACTAAATCAAGACCTTGTCCCTCAGGCTTTGGCCAAGGCCAGTCTCTCTCGTTTTATCCTCTTTTAATTGTATAAAGATGCCTTAGATCACTTCATTGCTTGTGGAACCACGTACAAAGTAACTAAAACAGGCTGGAACAGGATCAGATCTTAGCAAAAAGGTGCTGGCCAGCCACACAATCGAGTGTTAGAGCTGGCTTGGCTGTGTCTGGAATTACAATGTCACGGTTGCCTGGGGTATAGTACAGGCTGGCCTGGAAGGTGATGGGCTCTCTGTGCTGTGATCTCTACACAGAGCTGGGGCTGTTCCTCCCTTGGTTTGGGGAGGAAGGAGGTGGAGCAGCTGAGCTGCCACGCTTCCCATCTGAGTGGGGATGGATTCATGTTAGCTGGAAGAGGAAAAGATGGTGACTGGTGTGGTGTTTTTCAGATTGATGGACTGGAGGAGAAGCTGGCACGCTGCAGACAGAGCATGGAGGAGGTGGATCTTAAACTGCGCAGGGAGAAGCTCAGCCCTGAAGGAAGGTATTGATGGCCAGCTCCTTTCACAGCTGTGGCTGTGTACTTCAGCTAGCTGTTATTCTGCTGTAGCACTGAGCAAAGGGATGAGAATGTGTGGTTCCCCATGACAAGACTCTTCCCCCAGCTTGGAGCTTACTTGGGGAACTTGCAAGGGTGAGAAGTTTAGTGATACATGGAGAGAGTTTTATCTTAGCAGACTTACTCTCCCACCTACACCACAGCCAGCCAAGCAGTGCCTGAAAGGTGCCAGTTCATTTGCAGAGCTGGCTCCTGGCCTGCTAGGAAACAGCTCTGTGAGTCTGGCAAAGGTTCACTGCATGCTGCTACTCAGGCCTTGCCTGAGCTCAATCGGGGAGATGTGCAGCAACTACTGAGGGCCAGACCATGCTGGGATGCAACTGCAAAAGGGGCTGAGGGAAATTACTCTGTGCCGGTGTTGCAAATGTGCCTGGATGCAGGGATGCAGTGACACACTAACTTTCCTTGGGAAAGGGAAAAGGGACAATTTCCCTGAAATCTGTCACTGACATAGAAGAGGCAACTGTAGGCTTCTTGCCTGGAGTCCCAGCTCTAGGACTTTGACCTGGATTTTGTAACAGACACAGGGAGAACCTGCTGTTTCTCTAGAGTGTGGAGCAAGAGATCCTGGATCTTCCAGCTGATCCTCAAATCCCTCTGCTTGAGGACATTCTTCCAGTCACCAGCATCCTACTGCTCTGCTCCTAGCAAAAAAGGCTGGGAAGCTCAGTCGTAAGCCCACAGAGCAGTCCTGTCGGTCCTGGTGTCTGCTCTACAGTACTGTCCTACAGAACCCAGTTAGAAGTGGTCCTAGCAGTGGTGATGTCTCCATAACCTGATACTTGTCAGCCTCAGCTTAACTTCTTTGTTCCTCCTTCCCACTTTTTCTCTCTTCTTCTCTCCCCCCTGCCTCCCCTTTACTGGGATTTTAACCCCAGACGGGGTTGCATCTCCTCCTGTCCCTCATCTCTTTAGCTCCTCAACAGTCTTTTTCTAGGCCTAAATTCTTCTTACGTTTACTGTCTGTATCCTTTATCTGGTACTTAGGTGGCCAACAACCAAACCTACAGTTGTGCTATCTCAACAGAATAGATCTGTATGATTTCTCTCTGAAATATAGGGCCTAGAGTAAATAATTAGGAATAGGGATTCCTGGGACCTTTTCTGAATTTTACAACTCTGTGGTGGGTGGATCCTGGCTGGACACAAGGTGCCCACCAAAGCTGCTCTATCACTCCCCTCCTCAGCTGGATGGGGGAGACAAAAAATGAAATGTGGGTCAAGGTAAGGACAGGGAGAGATCATTCACCTGTTACCATCATGGGCAAAACAGACTCAACTTGGGAAAATTAATTTATTACCAGTCAAATCAGAGTAGGACAAGGAGAAATAAAACCAAATACTAAAACACCTTCACCCCACCCCTCCCTTCTTCCTGGGCTTAACTTCACTCCTGATTTCTTTACCTCCTCTCTCCCGCAGCAGCGCAGGGGGATGAGGAATGGGGGTTGTGGTCAGTTCATCACCCATTGTCTCTGCTGCTCCTTCCTCCTCAGGGGGAGGACTCCTCACACTCTTCCCCTGCTCCAGCGTGGGTCCCTCCCACGGGGTGCTGTCCTTCAGGAACAGACTGCTCCAGTGTGGGTCCCCCATGGGCTCACAAGTCCTGCCAGCAAACCTGCTCCAGCGTGGGCTCCTCTTCCCATGGGCCCACAGGTCCTGCCAGGAGCCTGCTCCAGCGTGGGCTTCCCACGGGGTCACAGCCTCCTTTGGGCACCCACCTGCTCTGGCGTGGGGTCCCCCACGGGCTGCAGGTGGAGATCTGCTCCACCACTAACCTCCCTGGGCTGCAGGGGCACAGCCTGCCTCACCGTGGTCCTCACCACGGGCTGCAGGGGAATCTCTGCTCCTGTACCAGGAACACCTCCTCCCCCTCCTTCCTCACTGACCTTGGTGTCTGCAGAGCTGTGTCTCTCACATGTTCTCACTTCTCTCTCTAGCTACAGTTGCCCTTGCAGAGTTTTTTTCCCCCCTTCTTAAATATGTTATCACAGAGACGCAACCACTGTCCCTGATGGACTTGGCCTTGGCCAGCAGCGGGTCTGTCTTGGAGCCGGCTGCATTGGCTCTGCTGACACAGGGGAAACTTCTAGCAGCTTCTCACAGAGGCCACCCCTTAAGCCCTGTGGCTACCAAGACCTGGCCATGCAAATCCAATACAAACTTGTACGGAGGTGGAAACAGAAATCCTGTTGCCCTCATACAGACCTTTCGAAAAACCCTGGAGGAAGGTACCATGATCAAAATTATTAATTCAATGAATAGTACACAAAAGAAAGCTCTGTTTTCCCATTTTGAAGTTCAGTTGTCATGGTTTCTTTAGGTCTCATTCTCAAAACCTCTTCCCTTGACTGTTTTCATAAGGCAAGTTTCTAAGTAGCAACTCAGTCATGTTGGTAAATCTCTCTTCTCACTTCCTCCTGCGTTGCACATTGCCCTTCCCCACTTGCCTTTAGGAGCCCTTTCTTCTCCAGCTGCTCTGACGTAGCTTGCTTTCTTGCTCTCCTTAACTAGCTATACACATAGATTTGGATCTCTTTATTCCTACAGTTTCTTGCTCTGCCCCAAGGGGAACAACAAACTGTTACACTTACTGCCTTCTCTCTTTGCTCTGAACCAGGAGATAATTTGTTAGTGTGTGTTCATTTATGTGCACACAGTCTGAAAGGAGTGACCTCATCCTCAGAGCTGTAATGGAAAGGCTGCTGCTTTCAAGCTGTTTGTTTCACATTTATATTTTAAATGGTTTACTAATTTATTATTAATCATTATTTAAACTGTTTATTAACTACCTTGTGGAGTTTAAGACAAGGGCTGGGTTGGCCTCACTTAATCTTTATTGTTACTATCCTGAGTCTTCAGTCTAATAACAGGTTGTGACTGGGCTCAGATTGAGCTTGTTTCCTTGAGTTGAACAATTTGTATAAATTGGATGCTTCTGACAATGGGATCCCAGCTTCAGTTGGTGAGTAGTATTTGAGCACTAAGCCAGATGGAGGGGCAGGATCCTGCAGAGCATATGGGGACCCTGATCCATCCATAGCTGTGGCAGAACTACTTACCTGACCTGGGGGGACCAAAGTAGGGGCCTCTGACACACAGCCCCCTTTCTCACCTGCTTGCCAACATTGACACGGTCCTGAAAGGACAGATCTGAAGCAGGTTGGGGAAAGGAAAAAATAATCTAAAGCTGCTGCATCTCTTCTCTTGCACAGCTGGGGCTTTCTAAACTGGCATGTCTCTACAGTGAAGGGTGAGGGGCTCAGTCTGTGAGCAGATATCCCCAGCCATGGGACAGTCTCTCTTCCATCATCTAAGCAAAGAAATAGGCTGTGTTGTGCCTCGCAGGTAATGAACTACTCTTCTCATTACAGAAAGTCACTGGAGAGAGAGAGAAACTTACTAATGACCAAAGCTGACAACTATGGTAAGAGCTTCATTAAAAATGGTCCCTCTGGGCTGCATGGGATCAGTGCTGCAGCTTAGCTTCGTCTTCAAGCTCCTGACACCTCTGACTTCTGCCTTTGAATTTAGGTTCAACCAAAGGGAGCTAGACTGAGGGAAAGCTAGTCAGCATATTATAATAGGATTCTGGATCCTCCTGCTTGAGCTGTGCTACCATAGGGGAAGAAAATAAGCAGCAGCTAATGAGGGGGGAAAGATGTCACTTCACATATCTCAAAGTGCCAGTCTTTAGATAATCTTAGCCAACAGATTGACTTGAGTGGCTTCTAACATCCCCCACACAGTTTTTTCACTTTCCTTTTTTTAATAGAGGCTTGCTAAGCAAGCTGGCAAGTGCTACCTGGAGTGTAGCAAAGTGTACCTTCCTTGGGGAAGGTTCTCCCTGCATCAGTTTCTGGGGCCATTCAGCACACAAACATAGGGAATCACACTGATGTGCTAATTGCAATTCCAGAGAGCCAGGGTCTTTCCTTGCTGCAAGTCCTGCTGTAGACAGTTAAAATGAGAGTGCCTCTGAACTACCGCAGGTTTGACAGTGCTTCCATTCCGCTGGGGATGCTGCTTTGCACGTCTTCAGGCTCCTGGTGTTGATCAGTGTGTTAACTGCCTGACAGCACTCTGCAGCAGTGCAAGCACCAGAGCTCACACAAGGGAAAGAAGCACAAGTGTTCCTGTAGGCCTGGAGAGTTGAAAGCTGGGATATGGCCAGCAAATTTGTAATTTTAACTCGTGTTAAAGGACTGTTTCCAGAAGACTAACAGTTATTTTAAACAGATTCAATGCTGTTCCCTAAGGGCCTAGCAGTAGAGACAGCAGAAGGCTCTGCACATCCCTGCTACCCTTTTTACCAGCAGTCAGCCATCGGTGCTAGCTAGCATCAACGGATCAATCTGACAGCAGCAACAGCCTCACCTAATGGTGATGGCTGCTCCTCCTGGAACAGAACAGACAGTGCACGTGCACACAGTCTTTTTAGATCACTGCTATGGCTTCTGATTAAATCTCTGCTTACTCCCGTTGACACACTTGAGGCCGTGCTCTGCAGTTGCTGACAATGGCATTATTCTATCAGTTTAAGGTGGCACTGCTGTGCTTGGGGTTATGTGATCTCCTGCCCCTACCACCTCTGCTGCAGCCTTGCAGATTCAAGCAGTTTGCTCTGTGGTTGCATGAGAAGGCTTGTACTAGGTGAAGAACGGGGGCAAAAAAGAACTACTAAATGCCTTTTTGATACCAGCCTGTTTGGGAACCTGCAGCACCAGGACATTCCCACTGGAGGCTGCTGGTGCAAACTGCAGGGGCAGGAACCCACGCAGTCATTGCAGCTGACCAGCAGCAAGAACAGTCTGGCTCTGGAGACAGTCTGCACCCAACCTTGTCCTGCAAAATAATTACTGCTGTTTAGCTATGCAATGCTGTAGGCCTTGCTGCCCATACCATCCAGAAGAGGCTTGTGGAACAGAACAAGTGGTAAAGGGAACAGAACAGAAGTGGAGAGCAGAAGGACTCCATACTTTTGGTAGCCGCTTCCTTCCTCTCTCTGCATCTGTGTTTCTTCTTTTGTAAGCCAGGGCCAGGGGAAGTGACCTGTCTCTAAAAAGCTGCAGACCCCAACAGAATGAGTGTCCACAGAGCTGTCTACCACTCATCCTTCTGGGTTACAAACCAACCCAAATTCTGATTCTGCAACATTCAAAAGGTGGCTACAGTTGTATTTAAGTAAATTTAAGCACTAGGAAAAGGTACCAAGCTGTTAGTCTAGAAGGTAGTAGCAGTAGTTCTCCATCATCTTCATTCTCTTGGAGAATAAGCAATTATTCTAATAACCCATTTTGTCCTTAGTAGGGTCCTAGAAAAAGGTCATTTGCAAACAGGAACTGGTCTGGCACTGAAGTATTCCCAAGCACAGCTAGAGATTGACAGGATGAGAGCAAAGGACAGCGTTCTTGATAGTTTACTTCCCATTCAGCACATCTTATAATTGGCAGCTTTACACACTGATCCCAAAAGAATTACCTGTGGCCAAGGTAGCATTGTGCTTTTAAGACAGTTTTGAAAGATGTAGCTGCAACAGGAAGAACATTCACAGGCAAGGCTTTTGTTTGTTTCCCAGAGAAAGAACTGAGTGTGCTTCGTAAGGAAAATCGCAAGAACGCTGCCCTTGCTGTGGCCATGGGGTTGCTGATTGCTCTTATTTACACCTGCTGGACAATGTGATTGCACTCAAGAATTCTCCCTGCTGACCAAATGACTCTCCTGCAAGGAGCTCTTCCTCCTCTCACCACTGTGCCTCCCCCAAGGGTGAGGATCAGCATTTCAAATTGCTGTTCTTGTGTATCCTCTCCAAGCCTCGTAGGAAACCTTTTTCTTCGAGAATTGAGGAGGAACAGGAGACGAACCAGAAACCACAGCACACTTACAATTGGAAATCGGGTCGAGCAGAGTTCAAGGTAGGGCCGTCTTACCCTAAACACAGTAAAGACCATCCAGCCTGATGAGGGAAGGCAGTATGTTCTCCCTTTTGAAGAGGACCTCTGTGGTTGCAGACGAGAGCTCTCTGCCCAGCCCAGTCAGAATTCATGCCACCTTCTTGGTTCCTGCAACTCAGCCATAAGCTGAAGGGACACCAAGCTCTTTGAATCAAAGAGTAACTTGGGTATTGTTACCTAAAGACTTCACATGTTTCTGGAGCTGAGCTAAACAAAGATGTTTCCTCCTCCACACTGACTTACAGGACCAAAGGAATCCTACCTCCAGAAAAACAGATAGGAGGTAGATGGGTGTCTTTCTGCAAGCAGATGGCATCCAACTTGAGATCCGGGTGCTTGGGCTTTGAGACGACCTACTTACCTCTCCAGGGCATCAGAGCTTGGTAGCCATTTTGTGCCTCTGAGAATCAACAGTTGCAGAAGAGAATTGACTATCAACTCCCAGGGATGGAAGTGCCTCTGCAGGGGTTTAAATAAAATAATTTGACCTTGTAACTTCCTGTTTTTTTCTGGGTTTTTTTTCCTGTTTTATAACATGCCTCAGCCACTCCCTTATTCTCATCCTACCACCTCCCCGCTGGCACACAGTAAGCCTAGACTGGGTTAGGTACTTAACGTTCCTGGTCAGTGAAGTCTCAACAGTGGGTAAGTGGTCTTTTGCGGCCTGAAATCTGCTTGAGTGTTTGCTTCGAGTGGAAAAGCAGCCTGGCATGCTGCAGAGGAGTGCTGGAGACTGTCCCCGGTAGTCCCCTCTCATTCTGATGCAGCAACGTATAACTAGGTGGCCCTCAGTGTGCTCTAACGTGCCAGGAAAGCCTTTAAAAGGCAACTTGAAAATTTAACTGTGCAAGGCATTTCTCTGTCTCCACACTAACACGTGCTACTGGCCAGAATTCTGGGAGGAAGCAAAATAAACAAGCGCTGTTTGTGAACTAAAGGGGCTGTATTGGTAATAGAGACAATGAAAGCAGAGAAGTCAACACAAAATGGTACACAGCCTAATAACAATACATTGTGCAATTAATGTACATAAACGTTCCCTTCAGCAAGACCTTCCTCACCCCCCTTCCCAACACAGTACTTGTATATTTACCCTGCAGTAGGGAAGCAAGTAGCATGGTGGCTCATGCTTGCCTTTTTGAAGGGGGGATTCAGAATCAAGGCTCAGTGCATCAAAAATAAAAGCAAATTAAAATCAGGAGGAGCTGGAAGCAACTGGGTAAACGGAAAGTATCTATTCATAAAAGCTAGCCTGCAGGCTAACCAGGTCTTTTTGCACCCTTGGGAAGCCTACACTGGCCCTAGTGTACTTCCTAATCACCCTTCTGTCTGCCAGCCCACAGGAGACCAAAGCCCTGAGTGGAGGACACAACACTTCGCAAAGGAGCCTGGCAAAGGGAGCAGCATGCTTTGCTGGCACTGGAACAGCCTCAAGGCAGCCCACAGAAGCTCCAGAACTCTAGTGGTTGGTTTAAAAAGCCAACTGCACCCAGGCCTGGGAACCACACAGTTTGGAGATTCTTTACTGCCCACTGGGGGATCTCTCCTCACCCTTTACAGAAGCGCCTCTGACAAAACAAAACTGCCAGTGACAGGCCTCTTTTTTTCAGGGGGGGTGTGCGTGGTGTGTAGGGCCACCACTTCTTTCACACAAGTTTCACCCATGCTTCAGAGCAGAGGGGGTCTACAGGTCAGCAGGAGGGTGCATTAACAGCATGCAGTCCCTCAGCTGCTTTGGCAGACCTGTGACTAATACTGCCAATGTGGAAAAAGCAGCTCTGACACACTTCACTTTCGGCCAGAGCTTGAGAAGAAACAGAATAGCTCCCCCTGCACAATATTCAAGGCTACCTATCTGTAAACTAACCTCCCATCCTTCACCTCCTCCAGTTTCCACTGACCAACAGACCATGCCAACTTCTGTACTGCTCCTTTAGCCAGGGGTGTGGTTCTGCAGGGATCAAGCCTGCATATAATTTTCTCTGATGCAAGGAGTTGCAGCTGTTAAATTCATTTATACCAAACTGTAGAGAATTAATACATGGTTACACGGAGACGGGTTCCTTGGGAAGACATGGAAGTGCTCCAAGCTCCAACACAGCCTGCTTGTAGGATGACATTGAACTGTGGGCTGAGAATGAGCACAAAACCTACAGAAGATGCTGGGCCTTAGAGGGTGGAGGTGGGACATCTACAACATGCCATCCTTGTTCTGGCTTCTTTGGGTGGGGCGCAGGGCACCCGTGCACCTCCAAGTGAAAATGTTCATGTCTTGCTACATAAAGCTTGTTCAAATTGTACATACGGGTGTGAAGAGAAAGAACCAAGAATCTAAACAACTGCTATAGATTCTAGTACTATAGCTTTCTTTAAGGCACAGTTCAGACAACCCCTAAATCCATTTCCCCCCTACTGCCCATCTGTGTTTAAAAACAAGCCAAGAACAACAACAACAACAAAAAAAAAAAGGGCAATTTTGCTGCTTGGCCAAAAGCAGTCAACTGTGTGTTCTCTTCTGATTTATGTGGAAGACCTGGCAAAAGAGCCATGGAAGCCAGAAGTGAAGGTAAAACATGCAACAGAAGACTACTCTGAGCCCAGCACAGAAGTGCGACATACAAATACCATGCTGAGAGTTTCACAGCTCTGTGCCTTCACCCCAGATGCAGTTCCGGGGCCAAATGAGACACGGAAGGTTTCAAAGCCCACTCTGGCATTTAAAAAGGAAAGTGGTAACCTTTCCAGTGGGCACAGTCAGGGGACAGAATTTCTACTGATGAACCAACATGGTCAAAGTCAAGATCTCTTCACTGAAGCCCTGGGGTTTTCTTGGGTCAGACGTTCCCACCATTTCTCCATCCCAACCTTCTTGTATCTTCCCTCCCGCATATGCTTTCCTCCCTGAAGACTTAGGTAATAGTGTCGAGTACCAAGAATCAAAGCACCTTGGTCTCAGAAGTACCATGAGGCACAGACATGTTCACAAATTAGCCCCAGCCTGTTGGCTCGGGGTCAGTCAGTGACCTGGAGAGGGGAAAATCACTGTCGCAGCAGCTTCTAGAGATCTGAGAAAGCCCTGGCACTGAGCACATCAAATCTGTGCCAGGAACCTCTGTTGGCCTTTGTCCAACGAGATGCCATCACATGGGAACTGCCAGTGACCCGCCAAGTGCCTTGATAAGCAGAAGTGTTGGACACACCAACAAGAATACATACTTGCATCCCAAAGCCAGCATTCTGCAATGAGTTAAACGCCCTCCACTGGGTAGTGTAGGCCTTTGGCAAGGCCGAGGAGACAGACAGCTGCCAGGGACGATGCAGGGCCGCTTCAACGTGCTGTTGCCCAGCAATGCCACCAAGACATCTCTGCTCCTTCCCACACTGCCAGGGAAGCACAAGCCTGGAGAGTTCTGGCACACACACAGCTCCACAAACCTCGCTGAATGTTTGAACGGGAGCAAAGAAAGCTGCCAGCCCCTTGGCCTCATGCATGCAGTAGGTCAGGACAGAAGAGCGTTAGGCCTTGGCTCCCAGAGTCACCACGGGTACTCCGGCAGCAGGCGCTACCTGGGCCATACTCTTATATACACTGCCAGGGTAGAGCCTCGTCCTGTGCCTTCTGCATACCACCCCCTGGTTCCATCACCTCCAGGAAATCAGCTCTGGAGAACACCAGGATAGAAGTTGTGGAGCCTCCCCAGTCTCATCAGTCCCTGAAGAATCCAAGCTGGGCTCAGCCCCCCCCACCCCACACCCCTCAAGAGAGGGGGGTTAGGGGTAGTGTGCTTGGATGAAAGACAGGACATCCTCCTTCGAGAGCTTCTCTGGATCTTGCCTTTTCTGAGAGTCGTGCACTTTGACACCTTCCCCCCACTCCCAGAAGAGGCGACTGTAATGGCAGATGCTGTGGGCAGAGAGGAGAGCAAGATTAGTTTGGCAGGAGAAGGCAAGGAAAACACTGTCATCCTAGACAAAGTACACTACTGCCCTTGCAATGGGAGCCACACAGATATTCTAAGGGGTGCCTTGGAAAAAGATCCGTGCATTCATTCACCTTACAAACTCTACAGCCCTTAAAGTACAGCAACTTCCAAGCTTAAGAGATTTCCATGGAAACAAACTTATTAATTCTAGCTTCACTCAAGATTCAGTTCAGCATTTGCTGGAAGGAGACAGGTCATTAGGGAAAAACCTAACCCCTCCGAAGTTTTTGAGAAGATGACTGTCATTGCAGGCAATGGAAAGGCCTTCCTGAACAATTTAGGAAGTCTGCCAGCAGCAGCAACCAGCAATCTAATCACTCACCACAAACCTACTAGAATCAGTAATAGCTGTCCTACAGAGCTTTGCAAACGAACAGCACTTTGCACTGTAGAAAAAGCAGCTAGGCTCATCCCCACTTTTTCCCTCATGTGAAATAACAGAGCTCCTCTTGTCTGCTGAGAGTTCTGGTCCTACAACGCCATCTCTCACTCCATGCACCAAGCACAACCCTCCCTCACTGCATCAACATAGTCCCAGCCATAATGAAAACAGAGCTGCTAATTACTGCCGACACAGCAGCCTTTAGTTTTGCAAGATTACTGACACGTAATATTCATAGCTTATTTAGTGCTACTGTTCTAACAAAGCAGTACTAGCACAGCGACAAGAGCACATGTCAGTGGCTAATTATACACACATTAGTACTCACTAACCACCACACAACACATCCCCTTCTGGAGTCCCACACAAACCAGCCATTCATGCAGGTTCATGCTGGCCTACTTCCGAGTACATAGGCAGAACTAACCCCATCCCGTTCTTCCCCTTAGCTAGTTAAGGAAAGCTTAAGATTCTTAAAAGCACTGCTGTAAGGTAGGTAAGAAGATTCGAAGTGAGAAGATCAGGAGCCCTATTTCATATCAAGCTCCTGCTCAGAGGCACAGTCCTGGGCAGTGATGGTAGAGGGCAGGGTGTGTAGAACATCTCCATGCACACACCCCATGGTGTCACACAGAATCAGCCACAGCATTAACCACTGTCCAAAGACAAGCCATTCCATCCTCTCCCAAGGAGCTGCTGCTTTTCTCTCTCCCACTCTATCTTTAAACAGCTCACAGCTACCTACAGCTTATTCCAGAGCCTGGGCTAGATGAACTGGGATTTGCTTTTAAATTAGCAGCTTGCAACCAAGCATCTTAGAATCCAGAAATGCAGCAAATTACAGTTGCTGGGCTCAATTTCCATTTCACTGGGTGTACAGAGGTTGGGTAACATACTCTGCTGCAGACAGGGGAACAAAGTTGAGATGTGTGTTATTCATAGCAATTAATTACAAAATCCACGAATCCAGATCAGTGGTTTTTCTAAAAGTCTGAGAAGGCACCAGCTTCTGCAGCACACCCTGCTGGTGACCAAGCTGCGCTTGCACTGCAAACGACTGCAAGAACACAGCACAGTTCACCTGAACTCCCTTCCAAACACCCACCTACCCCCCCACACACAGAGCTATC